TAGCTGTGTCAGTAAGGTGGTCACAAATTCACTGGTCTGTAAAAGAACTTAAAATCTCTACGGTCCGTTCTAGCTTTAGCTGTCTGTGCTTCATAATTTCAATCTGTCCCAAGAAATGAATGTTTCTATAAATGATCCAACATGATACGACAATCAATACTCACACACAAGATACTTACGACAACTCTGGTATACACTTCTTCAGCAAAGTCAATGCTCTGGAATCTTTGTTCTGTCGGAAATGTGTACTTGGTGAGCCACTCCAAAAGTGGCAGGTCTACGTTACTTCCAGCAAAGTAGTACTGAGGGGCATGGATGTGTGTATCAACCAGCCCAGGCATGAAGAACTCACTGGAAATGGAGATAAGAAGAAGGATATTTAATAATCTTTAGTTATTTTCCGTATCTTTAAATCATATTTTTCTCAGCAATGACTTAATTGTTTACCCCACACAGGTTTACAGCTGATGTAATCAGACAACTGTAAATTCTCCTATTATTTAGAGGTCAGGAAATAAGAATGATTTATAGCTGATGCAATCAGACAACTGTAAAGTCGCCTGTCATTTGGTGGTCAGGAAATAAAAATGAAGCTCTTCTAGGAGAGATGCAGCTCCTAAGTGGGAATGGTGGTGTAGGTGTAAGCAAGAACGATGAGGGAGGAAAAAACACAGCACTGAGCAGAAGCAAAGCAGTCATAGCACCAGGAAGGAGGGAACCTAGGATCGTAGGACAGACAGCAAAAGTGGGAAAAGAGGTCCTCAAAACTTCTAGAGCTGTGCGGAAGAATGCATCCACAGGTCACTGAGGGTGACTGAAGAAGAAAAACAGAGTGGCTGCCATTTTGGACTCAGTGGTCAGCTTGATCTTCGCGAACTACAGAAATCTAGGCCTTTCCTGTGGGATGTTGGGGCTGAGTTCTGGAATCGAAACAGCAAGGACAAACTGGATAGAGACAGGCTGGTTAGGGACAGGCGACCTAGGGGACAGGAGCATGAACGGACAGTGGTGTAAATGGTCAGGTGAAGAGGAAGTTGCAATGCTATGACAACCATTCTCAGGATGCTCTGATCACTCCTGCTGCTACCCTGATCCACCAATTAATATGCATATTTTATTAATTCTTATAATAGAAAGTCCTAGAAACATGTTTTTAAAGTTTTTAGAGGCACTACCCACAGAACTGAAGCAGCCCGATGCTAACAGACACTTAAAGCTTTTCTAAAGAGCTAATCCAGTTCACTAATTACTATGGCCTAACCTCTTCCAAACATACATTTGCTAAAAGATGGTATGCACTACCACCACTACCACCCGCGTAAATATTAAATCACATAAGAAACTCAAAACTTGACATCACAAAGAATTCCTTATGCTACCAAATCAAACATATACATGCCACCTAAATGTAAGACAAATGAAGTCATGAATAGCCCTAAATGCTTTATCTTAGGAGTGGTGGTGATGATGATGATGATGATGGTGACAGCAGCTAACGTTTACCAAATATGTCCATGTACCAGCCACTAGGCACGGCACTCTACATGCATGAGGCAGTTTACTGTAGGGGTTAAGTGTAGACAGTCTGGACTCAGACTGCCTGGATTTGAAGTCAGGCCCCACCATAAACTGGCAGTGGGATATTCAGCATGTTATTTAACCTCTCTGTGACTCAGTTTCCCCTTATGTAAAATGGAGATAGTAGTAGCATCATAGGACTCTTGTGAGGATTGAGTTAGTGTGCCTAGAAAAAGGAAAGTATCAATCAGTGTCAGTGATGATCATGATGTAATGCTCCCAACAAACTTACGAAGCATGAGAGTATTGCTACCCTCATTTACAGAAGGGTAAGTGAGCTAAACTCAGGAAAGTTAAGTAGCTTGGACAAAAGTAATCATTAACTCATCAGCTTTGGAGCTGAGATTCACACGCAGGCAGTTTGTAGGCTCAGTGCTCTTGGTCACTATGCTCCATGTGACAGGATTGTTAATTTACTATGGAAATGAAGAATTAGTGACAAGTTGTAAGTGTGGTGAGAAGGCAGCACTAAGTGGGTCTATGTGAGGAGCACATGGAGAGGGACAATAGAATGGGGACTCCTCTCGGGGGCTGGTCACTGACCTCTCCAGGATGCAGCAGTCCCTGGGGCTTTTGTCCATAAAATGGAATGGCAGTGTGACTTCTGCGTGCCGCTGGATTGTTCAATCAAATCCTATTTCCCAAGTATCTAGGATGTGTAAGAAACTTCGCTAAGCCTTGTGGGGAGTCCAAAGAGAGATAAGGTATCTTCTCATCCTCAAAGCCTATGAACTAGCTGAGGACATTAGGGGTGAGCGTGAGCACGTGGGTCTTAGCAATTTCATTCCTCGACATTCACTTACCCAAGCAAAATAAAACAAAAATATACAGAGAGGATACGCAAGGATGGTGACAGGAGCTTCATTCACATGAGCCTCAAACTGGAAACCATCTAAATATCCACCCCAGGAAAACGGACAGACAAACTGACATACGGGTGCATATAGAACTATTCAGCAATTTTAGAAGATGAACTACTGATAAACACAACAATATGAATAAATTTCAAAAAAAATTATGTTGAATGGAAGTAAACAGACACAGATAGTACATACTGAGTTATTCCACTTACATGACGTTCAAAAACAGGCAAAAGTCACCTATGTGATAAGAATTAAACCGTGACTGCCTATCAGGAGCCAGAGAGTGACTGGATGGGACTCAAGGGAACTTTCCAGGATGATAGAAATGTTTTATATCTTGATGAGTGTATTGGTTACATGGGTATACATATTTTGTCAAAACTTAATCAAATGATGTATGTAAGACTGATGCATTTCACTATATAAAAAATTTTCCTAAAAAAACTACAAAAAGTTCTTTTTTAAAGGGTCTTGAATGCTCAATCTAGTAGATTAACATGCATTTGTTATTCTGTAGCCAAGAGGGAGGGGATCATGAGGACATTTGCTTTATTGTTCTTTGTTTTCCTTGGCAGGTTGTGACATACTGAACTCGGGTTTAAGGTGATGAATCTGGTGGTGGCGTGCATGTGTTGGGAGACTCCTGCAATCTCCCACGTGTGAGGTTTCTGAATAAAGATCATGGAGATGGGGACAGAGAGGGAAAGAATGAATATAAGTGAAAGAACTTGATCTTTTATTAGCTCTAGGAAGCAAAGGGGAAGAATGAGTTAAAAAGAGTAAGTTTTTGATCAGGCTGAACATTATGACACAAAGTACAAAGAATTCAGAAGGAAAGTCCATTGGGAGGGATGGTGTCATACTAAGCCCAGTGTCAAAGTGAACTTGCAGGTGTCCAAGAAGTAATTGGAGATGTGGGATAAGAGGTCATGCAAGGAGGAGGGAGAAGAGGGAAGGGGGAAAGAGGAACTGGTAGAGGGACACAAAAATCAACTACATCGTACACTGATAAATTAAATTTTAAAAAAAAAATATAAAAAATTAAAAAAAGATTCTTTCATATGGAACTTCTCACTGTTCTCAGTAAGCTGCAGAGGAAAGTGCATAAATACCTTCATCTTCCCCACTGCTTCTAGGAAGCAAAGGGGAAGAATGAGTTAAAAAGAGTAAGTTTTTGATCAGGCTGAACATTATGACACAAAGTACAAAGAATTCAGAAGGAAAGTCCATTGGGAGGGATGGTGTCATACTAAGCCCAGTGTCAAAGTGAACTTGCAGGTGTCCAAGAAGTAATTGGAGATGTGGGATAAGAGGTCATGCAAGGAGGAGGGAGAAGAGGGAAGGGGGAAAGAGGAACTGGTAGAGGGACACAAAAATCAACTACATCGTACACTGATAAATTAAATTTTAAAAAATAAATATATAAAATTAAAAAAAGAAAGGACAGCAAAAAAAAAAAAAAAGGAGGTCATGCAAGAGTTAATGATGGGATTCAGATATGAGAGTTTTCTCTAAGTAGATAACCCTAGAAAAGTTGGTGGTGCCAGAGAGTTCTGTGGAAGAAAGAACGGGACTGAACCTTGAGCAGCGCCCTCCACTTAAGGAGTAAGATGGAGGAAAAGAGGTCATGATCAGTCTCCGCAGAGGTGTTGTCAGGAGGATACAGAGAACCCAGGACAGAGAGGTGTCAAGGACCGCAATGAAGGGAGAGTTTCAAGAAGGAGCAGAGCGGTGACCAGTGCAAAAACTGTGCCAGTTAAGGATGCTCAGGAAAGGCCCTGAGACCCCAGTGCAATGATTGGGGGACACTGATTTCAGAGGGATTTAGTTCTTCACTTAAAAAGTGCTTACCAAGTCTCTAGTGTGTTGTAGTCACCATCCTAGGTGCCGAGGAGAGAGTGAGGAATATGAGCAATGGGTGTTAGAGAATGCACTGAGCNCGAAGCATGAGAGTATTGCTACCCTCATTTACAGAAGGGTAAGTGAGCTAAACTCAGGAAATTTAAGTAGCTTGGACAAAAGTAATCAATTCATCAGCTTTGGAGCTGAGATTCACACACAGGCAGTTTGTAGGATCAGTGCTCTTGGTCACTATGCTCCATGTGACAAGATTGTTAATTCACTATGGAAATGAAGAATTAGTGACAACTTGTAAGTGTGGTGAGAAGGCAGCACTAAGTGGGCCTATGTGAGGAGCACATGGAGAGGGACAATAGAATGGGGACTCCTCTCGGGGGCTGGTCACTGACCTCTCCAGGATGCAGCAGTCCCTGGGGCTTTTGTCCATAAAATGGAATGGCAGTGTGACTTCTGCGTGCTGCTGGATTGTTCAATCAAATCATATTTCCCAAGTATCTATGATGTGTAAGAAATTTCGCTAAGCCTTGTGGGGAGTCCAAAGAGAGATAAGGTATCTTCTCATCCTCAAAGCCTATGAACTAGCTGAGGACATTAGGGGTGAGCGTGAGCACGTGGGTCTTAGCAATTTCATTCCTCGACATTCACTTACCCAAGCAAAATAAAACAAAAATATACAGAGAGGATACGCAAGGATGGTGACAGGAGCTTCATTCACATGAGCCTCAAACTGGAAACCATCTAAATATCCACCCCAGGAAAACGGACAGACAAACTGACATACGGGTGCATATAGAACTATTCAGCAATTTTAGAAGATGAACTACTGATAAACACAACAATATGAATAAATTTCAAAAAAAATTATGTTGAATGGAAGTAAACAGACACAGATAGTACATACTGAGTTATTCCACTTACATGACGTTCAAAAACAGGCAAAAGTCACCTATGTGATAAGAATTAAACCGTGACTGCCTATCAGGAGCCAGAGAGTGACTGGATGGGACTCAAGGGAACTTTCCAGGATGATAGAAATGTTTTATATCTTGATGAGTGTATTGGTTACATGGGTATACATATTTTGTCAAAACTTAATCAAATGATGTATGTAAGACTGATGCATTTCACTATATAAAAAATTTTCCTAAAAAAACTACAAAAAGTTCTTTTTTAAAGGGTCTTGAATGCTCAATCTAGTAGATTAACATGCATTTGTTATTCTGTAGCCAAGAGGGAGGGGATCATGAGGACATTTGCTTTATTGTTCTTTGTTTTCCTTGGCAGGTTGTGACATACTGAACTCGGGTTTAAGGTGATGAATCTGGTGGTGGCGTGCATGTGTTGGGAGACTCCTGCAATCTCCCACGTGTGAGGTTTCTGAATAAAGATCATGGAGATGGGGACAGAGAGGGAAAGAATGAATATAAGTGAAAGAACTTGATCTTTTATTAGCTCTAGGAAGCAAAGGGGAAGAATGAGTTAAAAAGAGTAAGTTTTTGATCAGGCTGAACATTATGACACAAAGTACAAAGAATTCAGAAGGAAAGTCCATTGGGAGGGATGGTGTCATACTAAGCCCAGTGTCAAAGTGAACTTGCAGGTGTCCAAGAAGTAATTGGAGATGTGGGATAAGAGGTCATGCAAGGAGGAGGGAGAAGAGGGAAGGGGGAAAGAGGAACTGGTAGAGGGACACAAAAATCAACTACATCGTACACTGATAAATTAAATTTTAAAAAAAAAATATAAAAAATTAAAAAAAGATTCTTTCATATGGAACTTCTCACTGTTCTCAGTAAGCTGCAGAGGAAAGTGCATAAATACCTTCATCTTCCCCACTGCTTAAGTGAAAGAACTTGATCTTTTATTAGCTCTAGGAAGCAAAGGGGAAGAATGAGTTAAAAAGAGTAAGTTTTTGATCAGGCTGAACATTATGACACAAAGTACAAAGAATTCAGAAGGAAAGTCCATTGGGAGGGATGGTGTCATACTAAGCCCAGTGTCAAAGTGAACTTGCAGGTGTCCAAGAAGTAATTGGAGATGTGGGATAAGAGGTCATGCAAGGAGGAGGGAGAAGAGGGAAGGGGGAAAGAGGAACTGGTAGAGGGACACAAAAATCAACTACATCGTACACTGATAAATTAAATTTTAAAAAATAAATATATAAAATTAAAAAAAGAAAGGACAGCAAAAAAAAAAAAAAAGGAGGTCATGCAAGAGTTAATGATGGGATTCAGATATGAGAGTTTTCTCTAAGTAGATAACCCTAGAAAAGTTGGTGGTGCCAGAGAGTTCTGTGGAAGAAAGAACGGGACTGAACCTTGAGCAGCGCCCTCCACTTAAGGAGTAAGATGGAGGAAAAGAGGTCATGATCAGTCTCGGCAGAGGTGTTGTCAGGAGGATGCAGGGAACCCAGGACAGAGAGGTGTCAAGGACAGCAATGAAGGGAGAGTTTCAAGAAGGGGCAGAGCGGTGACCAGTGCAAAAACTGTGCCAGTTAAGGATGCTCAGGAAAGGCCCTGAGACCCCAGTGCAATGATTGGGGGACACCGATTTTAGAGGGATTTAGTTCTTCACTTAAAAAGTGCTTACCAAGTCTCTAGTGTGTTGTAGTCACCGTCCTAGGTGCCGAGGAGAGAGTGAGGAATATGAGCAATGGGTGTTAGAGAATGCACTGAGCTGTTCCCTTTAAAAATATTTGGTAGTGAAAGTCAGGATATGGAAGAGGGCAAGTCATTTTTTGTTTTTCACGTAGGGAAAACCCAAACATGTTCATCAGGTAGCAGAGATGGAAGAGTGAAGGAGATGACTCGGGGTACAAAGTCTTCAAAGGCAGCAGAAGAACAGGGACTTATTGCATTAGAAGTGTGACTTTCACCCAGAAAAGCTATGATCCTTTTCAGGAAATATGAAGCATTGTGCAATGCTTATTAATAGAAACATTCACATAACTGAGGTTATAGCCAAGGATTTATTACAGATTTATTGCAGAACCATGGAATGTGATAGCTGCACGTGAAAATAGAGGTTACAGAGCCTACCTACTCTCTCTGTGTTTACAGGGAGAGCAAAAGGAAGCTTGGAAATGGCAGGCTCATTTTCAGACTTGCAATTTGTTGGTGGCCCAGCCAGGATTAGAACTCAGTTCTCCACTTACGACATCACTTAGAGCTAAATCATAGCTGTCAAAAGCCAAGCCTCAGGCAAAGCAGAGAAGAGGTCTAGAGGCTGCAGCAGCAGCAGGTGAAAAAGCTCTCCATTCTCCCTCTGTTTTCAGCTTTCCTCTTTCCACTTTACTTAATCACCATAATAATTCCCTTAGAAAATCTCAACTTGCCCAGATAAAAACCATCAACTTCATATTCCAAACCTGCAGTGTTGGCCAAGCCATATCATAACCTAAGGAGAAAGAATAATAACACCCCATGTACACTCATCAGAACATCCACCCATCTTTTAATCAAGTGGAAAACATTACTAAAAGCTCTACAATCAAAACACACGACTAAAGGCCTGTGTGGTCCAATCTGTTCACACAGCATCGTCACCCTCATCAACCTGCCCTGCCCAGGATGTGGTGGCTCCATGGGCCTGGGAACCCCACGCTATTTGAAAAGAACTATTCTATTGCAGAAAAAATGCAAGGCTGTAAAACAAACAACAGTCTGTCTTTATTTAAAATTTGGTAATTTGTTCATCATAGATTTTTGCATTAATTTTTTAAATATTGCAATAAAGTGTTATTTATCTTGATTACTGAGTTTTTTGCCCTATCTGCCACTTTTAAATGTTGTGCCCATGGTCAATGCCTCACTTCCCACACCCTAATCCTGGCTCTGCAAACCTGTCTAGGGTCCATGGCTTCAAAGTGATCCACTCCTACCACAGCACTGCCCATACTACTCCAGTCATAATTTTCCTTTTTTAAAAATCCACATTGTGCTGAGATATACCTGTAGATACACTGGGTATTGGACAAGTCTATTAAAAAGACTGTCAGACACATCATCTTCTATGGTATTTGAAACATGACTTAAAGAAATTCAACAGCACATAACTTGTAGATTTGATAATAAGAGTTATTTTGCATTTTAAATATGATTTTTCTTCAAAGACTTTCATCTTGCACTAAAATTTAAATTATGTCTTACTTTACCACTTCTCTGGGTGCAGTGCTTACAAGGATTCCAGAGTCTGAATTGTTGATGGATTTAACTCCAAAATTAGCCTCATAAAGAGGGACAAAAGGATGCAAAGACCCACAGATATGCTCAGTCCCCCTTCCCATCACCCACCCCTTCCCCCACCCCCTCCTCTCCTCCCAACCTCCATCCCCTGACTTCCAAGCATTCTTGTAATCCTCCAACACAAAGGCACAAAGCAGGTGGCTAAAAATGTCAGCTGTTCCTCAAAGTGGATTCTTAGGAAAATCTAGCAAGAGGAAGGAGACAGTAACACCAGAAGTTACTGTATTAATTTTCACGCCCATTTGCCCACATACTTCCAAGCCTGTAGCAAGGCAGCAGGAGAGGGAAGGAGGTAGGAGATGTGACTATTTCTGCAAGGACCTCGAAACATTACAGTCACCCTGTCTCTCTGGACTGTGACCAGAGACAACCTTAATAGCTGAGATGAGCTCAAAGAAGGAAAGTGGCTTGCTTTACATCTAACAGCTACAAAGCTGTTCTGTGAGGATTCAAACCATGTCTTCTAATTCCTAGTTGTTCAATGGCTCTCTGCTTACCTTGCCCTAAGGTCAATTCCCAAGTTATGAAAGTGCTTTCAGAATAAAAATGGTCCCACTTTTATTGACCTTGGAACTTAGTTGGCTGAAACAAAATAAAATATTTGAGCTTAAAAAAAAGTACTACCATTTCTTTTTTTTTTTTTTCTTTTTCCGTGTCCAGCAACGGATCGCAACCCTCAGTGTCGCCCCCGCACCGGACCGGGACCGGCAACGGGATCGCAACCCTCGGCACCGCCCCCGCACCTCGCTCAGCCAGTGAGCGGGAACCGGTCTGTATGTGTGATCCGAACCCTCGGCGGGAGCGCCACCGCGCTTCCCAAGCGGCGCACTATAGCAGTGCACCACCGGGCCGGCCCGTTAGTACTACCATTTCTATAAAACAAATCAACCAGGCTATGAAGACCGTGAGCCAATCACAGGAAACAAGTTTTATATAAATATTAAAGACCGCCAAAAGCAGTAAATGAACTTCTGGACACAGGTGTTCCCTAACCACGCTGTCAGCAAAATTGCTCCCCAAATTCTCTTCTCTCCCCACTCCCCGATGGTTTATCCTACCCCTCCCCACCCCCATTTCCTTCCTTTATAGAAGACATCACAATCTACCCCTGTCATGCTCATGGATCTGCTTACTGTCTGTGTCTCCATGGGCTGTAACCCTATGAGGACAGGACTCTGAAGATCTTTTTCACCTCCAGATCCTAGTCCTGCACATAGTAGACACACAAATATTTGCTAAAGAAATAAATGAACGATGGCAGCCTCTACTTCTCAAAGTTCCCATTCTTCAGCTTCTTGTCCCACCTCCCCCTTTAAAATAATGAACTAATTTAAAAATCAATTAAAATTTTAAATCAACAAATTGTTTAAAAAGTCTCTCTGTCTGTCATTTGCACCCAGCGAAAGGGAAGAGGTTGGCAGCGACTTACTGGTGGCTCAGCTCTCTCACTTCGCACGGCTTGAAGCACCACTGTTTGGCCAGTTTTTCTTGCTCAGATGCTTCTTCTAAAAACACTATCTTTAAAAGAAAGCAAGAAAAGAATCGCACATGAATGAACCATAGTCATTTGCTGTTATTAAATCTCTAAATCTTTTTAAAAGAGACTAGACTGTATACTTGAGTTAATTTTAAAAGGTATTTGATACCAAATGGGACTGAGTTTAGAGGCAAAAAAGACAGGGTTTGCCTTGAGTCATCTCAAGAAGCAAACTATGTGGAATTTCTCCTGCTCTGCCACATAGAAGATAGAAGCAAGACTTCGAAAATTCTCACTTGAAGACACAAGGTATTAAAAATGGCTGATTGGCATCTTTTTCGCCCTCATCCCTGATGATTAGAGGAATTATTAAAGGAAACAATTGTTGATAGAAAATATATTGGATGAATAAAATATTTCTCACAGGCTGTTATGGGAAACTCAAGTGCATTAGTAGTGATATCATGGGGTAATTTATTAACATTAAATATAATCCACATAAGAACTGCCTGACAATTGAGTCTTAGCATGAACTATGCTGATGCTCTGATGCTAGACATCTGCTGTGAAGAGATCTGCTATACTTTCCTGGTACCATGTGTAAGAGACACTATAGGGAGGTAGATGAGACAGTGAGCTCTTAAGTCAGGCTTGTGAGGTCTGAAGCCCAGGTCAAAACAGCTGTGCAACCGTGGATGGGTCTCTTGAACTTTCTCGGTCTGGTTGCCCCATCTGCAAATGGGGGGTAACACCAGTACATACTTCACAGAGCTACTGTGGGAGGACTAAATATGACACTTCTGGTGAAGAAGTTAGCACATCTCTGGAAGATGTTAAATGCTAGATACATTATACCTATTGTTGATTCATTTCAAGTACAGTGTGATACTGCTTTCTCTATAAAAAAAAATGGTTGTAAAGCAAGAAAGGACAGGAAAGAATAAAATTTATATGCAGAAAATATCCTGTTTTATTTTTAAATGCAATATTTTGATGGAAAATGTTTCATGGAACATGAAATATTAGAAAAAATCTGGTAGGGGCCGGCCCAGTGGCGCACTGGATAGTGCGCCACT